TAACTTTAAAGTACTTCGTAAGTGTTGTTAGGTACTACACATCCGCATTTTAACTTCTTAATGTTCTTCAAATTTCGGGTTTTTAAAAAGTTCTTTTTCTTAAATGTATTGTATGTGTACTTGCTTAGTTATGTTTGCACCATTTTGACTTTAAGGATAAAGTTATATATTAATATATTTAAAATTAAAAAATATAAAAAAAAACATTTTAAAATTGCAATACTTGTTTTACATTTGGAATACATGTACCTTAAGTTAATTTATACTACCTCCGTCCCATATTTATCTTCATAGTTCGGTTTACGATGCTTGACTGACGATAAAGCACCCTCGATCCCTGTTCACACTCAGATTATTTTTAGTAAATAAAATTTATATATTCAGAAACTACATTAAAACCGCTACAAAGCCTGATCAAGAAAATTTAATTTTGATAAAAATTTGATATATAAAGTAAAAGATTAAGAGTAATTTGAGTTGACCATGTGAATAGTAACTATGAAGATAATTTTGGGATGGAGGGAGTAATAGTTTTTTATTACTCATAATATCACACTGTATATGTTTAAGCTAAAAAATTAGTCCAAACAAAAAACATCTTTATTACTGTTATTAGTATTATATCAGGAAATCAGAATGTGCAAAATGATTCGGAAGATTTATTCTAAGCTAATATGGAGTTTTAGGGTTGATTCCTTGCTTTTGAAAATTTCTAGTTTGATGTCCTATTATCTGGTTATTTTTTAGTTCTTTTTGCCAAACAGATTTACCTCATCCAACTAAAAGTTCAAAATTATGTTCTATATGCCAAGCATCGCCCTAATCTATGAGCCCGTTTGGCAACTTTTGTTTTCATCTTATCGTCAAATGTGTTAATCAATTGCGTAGTTTAATTTTGACTTCGCTCGCTGAATTGGGAAATAATCAAAGTATACTAGGTTGGAGTAATTTTCTAGCTGAATTAACTGAATTTACTATAGAACATTATTATAACTATTTTTCATGTATTTTTGTCTTAACTTAATTAACAAAATATATTTTAAATACAATTTTTCAATAACTCAACCAATGCAACACTTCAGCCATAATTTCACCTGATTTATCCAATTTAGCTAATTTCAGTGTCACCAAATGCGTTCTACGTATCCAAATAAGAAATTGTTTTATGTGTCGTCTAGAACAGTGGCGGAGGTAGAGGGGTGGCCAACCGGGCCATGGCCCGCCCCAAATTTGAAAATTCTTTGTATTTTCAGTGTAAAAATTTATGTGAAAAAAATTGTCTCAAAAATTCTTTGTACCGGCCTAGTCCAACCTTCAATCCTAGTTACGCCCCTGACTCTAGAATTACTAACCCTAACCCGTGTAAGACACAAATTTACCATTTTCAATTTTATCTGATTCAGCCAGTTTCAATGTTACCAATGGGCTCTATGTATCCAAATAGAAAATTGCTTTATGTGCCTCCTAGAATTACTAAACCTAACCCGTCTAAGACACAAATTTATCCTTTTCAATTTTCTTTTATTAAAATGCTTCTCGTCCTATTCTAGCATTTTACCCGTGTAAGTTGTACATATTTTTTAATTTTTTAATGTTTTTTAAATGTTGGTTTTTTTCAAAGCTTTTATTTCGCACGCTGAATTATGTAATACTCTCTCTGTTCCGCTAATATTGTTTCATTTTACGTTTTTTGGAAAAACCCACTAAAATTGTCACATATCAAATTTGGTAAAGTTTGTGTGGCTCTAAATCATTTTTATTTTATCAATTAACATCAATCACATAAACTCACTTTTATTAATAATCGTGTCACCCCCTTCCGTTCTAATATTAGCGTGACAGAGGTAGTAATGAGAAGAAAAAGTAATATTGAAGTTAATTTTCCGGCTGTAATGACTAAAGTTACTATGGAGGACTATTTTGGCCATTTTTATGAAAAAGAATCTATATTTTATTAGTAACAAATATTTTAAATATAATTTTTCATAAGTCACCAGAATCAGTCTATCCAACCACTCCAGCCAGAATTTCATAAACTTCAGTAGAATCAACCGATACAACCAATTTCAGTGTTATCAAATGAGATCACATATATAAATTATGTAAATTTTGTCGTGTTCAATTATAAATTTTGTCGTGTCCAATTGTTACAAAAAATGTATCAAAATTCACAATTTTTTATGATCTTTCATATGACACGAATGTTAAATATATAAAAATAAAAAATAATTTAACACTTTAAAACATTTGTCTTGTAGAAAAAATAAAATTGGAGTTGATTTTCTGGCTGTATTGGCTGAAGTTATCATGGGAGATTATTTTAGTTATTTTTCATAAAAAAATACTCCGTATTTATTTTGTTAGCAAAAAAAATTAAATCTAATTTTTCATAAGTTAACAGAATCAGTCTATTCAACCACTTCAGCCAGAATTTCATAAATTTGAATAAAATGCCGATTCAGCCGATTTCAGTGTTATCAAATGAGATTGCAATTGTAAATTATGGAACTTTTGTTGAGTTAAATTATAACTCATCATGGCCCCACCAAATATAATCTCATCTTTATTTTAATGTGGTATGAATTTTTTATTTGTGATCCAGTTGTTACAAAAAATGTTCAAAAAATATAAATAATTTATAAGTGTTGTAACATTTTTATTTATACTCCGGTTTTTACAAAAAATATATCAAATTAATAACTTTTTATTATATTTTAATGACACCAATATTAGATACATAAAATTTAAAAATAATTTAACACCTTAAAATAACATCTGTTTTGTAAAACTTCTATAACTTTTTAATTTATACTCCGATTGTTACAAAATATATATCAAAATTCATAACTTTTTATTATTTTCCATATGACACCAATGTTGCATGTATAACAATAATAAAAATTAATTCTATTTTTATATATGCAAGATAAGAAACTACACATATTAATAGATATTTTTTATATATGCAACATTGGTGTCATATGAAATATTGTAAACAGTTATAAATTTTTATATTTTTTTTGTAACAATCAGAGTACAAATAAAAAAGATATATCACTTTAAAATAAAAATGTTTTTTAAAGTATTAAACTATTTTTTATTTTTATATATTCAATATCGGTGTCATATGAGATATATTAAAAAATTATGAAATTTAATATATTTTTTGTAACAATTAAAGTACAAATTCAAAAGTTATTTTAGTTTAAAATAAACATGGGATTTTATTATTTGAGTTGCATAGTTTTAGGAAGTTTTTTTAAAAGAGGACGTAGGGTTCCAACTTAGAGATTAGTCATAAATTAACGTAACATCAGTTCTAATCTAAGTTAAATACTAATGTATGGGAAGAATAATTAACGAACATACCAAATTAGAAAGGGAATTTAGAATTTTATAATTAATGTTTCTTTAGAAGATGACACATGGCAAAACTTTCCATAATTGTATCTTTAAAATGTATCATCTATAGATAGATAGATTGATCTCATATGAAAGAGAATAAAAAGTTATAAATTATGGTATATTTTTTGTAACCATCAAAGTACAAATTGAAAAGTTATAGCACTTAAAAATAAATATGAGATTTTATTTTTTGAATTACCTTAGCTTTGAATTAAACGTAAGATGAGTTCTAATCTACCTTTAATACTAATTAACGGAAGTATAGTTTAAAAAAAATCTAAAATATTATAATGAAAGTTTGCTTAGAAGATGACACATGACAAAACTTTCCATAATTGTATCTTTCAAATGTATTATTTATAGATTATATAAAGTATTGAAAATAAATCTCCTATATATATTAAAGAACAAAAAATTTATTTAAAAAATGGAGGAGACAGCGGAAAGAAAGATATAAAGAAAAACTTAAAGAGAGCTAAAAACATGAAATACAAAAAATAAGGAAAGCTAACCTCAAATTCATCTTAAGCTAATCTTAAATTCATCCAAAGATGACCCTCCCCTAGATTTTACTTCACTTCATTATAGATGAGATTGAGACCTTTGATGCTTTCTTTTCGAGTGTTTAACTTGTGTATAAGCAGACAATTTTCCTTCATGACATACTAAAATAAAACATGTAATGTATACAAAAATGTAACCAAAGTTACTAGTGATATCTTTAATAATCTATAATGTAAAATTTGAACACAGTGGTATTCACTAAAAGGTAGTTAATCAATTTTATGTTCATTTTCCTTATTTTGGTCATCGGTTAGGATTATTTCTAAAAAATAGGAAATTATTCCTAGAATATTACTAAAATAAAATAATGGGCAAAAATGTAAGTCTAAGGATGTTTTTACTTGGACTGTAATTTGCCCCAGACCAGACCAGACCAGACTTGGATAGTTATAAAAATACAAAGAAACCAGACCTTACCAGATCAGACCAGACCAGTTCAGACCAGATCAGATCAGATCAGACCAGACCAGACCAGACCAAGTAAAAACATCCTAAGTCACTGTTGATATTCTTTCGGTATAACAACGGGATAAGAGTCAGTTTGGTCCTCGAAGTTGCAAAAAAGGGGTCAAATAAGTCCTTATGTAGAAAATTCTGTCCGGACGTGCCATTTGAGGTGGCTCCCGGTGGAATTTTTTGATTAAATTTTTTGAGCATCTTATTCATTTAGTCTAATTTACTCATACCAAATTTCAGATAAAAATTCAATCGGGAAGACATTCAAATGAATTTTTGAAGATAATTGTGCCGTTAAAAGCGCAGTTATCTTCAAGAATTCATTTGAATGTCTCCCCGATTGAATTTTTAGCTGAAATTTGGTATGAGTAAACTAGACTTAATGAATAAGATGCTCAAAAAATTTCATCAAAATATTCTACCGGGAGCCACCTCAAATGGCACGTCCGGACAGAATCTTTTATATAAGGACTTATTTGACCCTTTTTTTGCAACTTCGAGGACCAAACTGACCCTTTACTCGGATAACAATTGAACACAGTTGACGGTGAAATTAGCAAATTTTGATTCATAAAGTGAAGAACTCTGAACTCAAAACGACCCAGAAATGAGTGGCTGCTACTGCTAGATGCTAAATGATGCGGCTAACTTACAGGCCATAGCACAAATAGAAACAAAATACACTATTGGATCAATAGAAACAAAATCCACTATAACCATTATCCAGTCATCCATGAAAATTTGAGATCAAATTATGCTCATAGGAATTTGACTGAATCAGATGAGATTCTTCAAAAGTTTTTAGTTTTGAAGACATGAGTAGTGTTTTCACTGCTGCTACGGCAGTTGGGATCAACCGTAACAATAATCTGATATGGAGATCAAAGCCGGCTGCCTTTGGTTCCCAATCCGACGGAATAATTCGTTTCACGACACCCAAAAGGAGTGATTTTTTCGTTTCCAGGGCAAGTGTCTCTTCTTCTACTCCAGACGCCGCCGGCGGGAACAAGAAGAGGAGGAGGAGGAAGAAGATTGGAATCGACAATGACGAAGGCGAGGAGGTGGTAAAAAATGGTAATGAAGCTGTCATTGCTAATAGCGAGGAGAAGGATCAATCGTCATCTTCTCCAGTTTCCGTCATAAAGAGGCTAGACGACGTGAACCCAGTTGGGTTAGGGCGACGTTCCCGTCAAATTTTCGATGAGGTGTGGCGGAAATTCTCAGGGTTAGGTCAGATATCCTCCTCGAGCCTCGATGACGGCGAGGTTGGTCCGATGTGCGAATTCCCTACCCCAGGGGCTCAGAACACCACCATCCTCGTCGTCGGAGCCACCAGCCGTGTAGGAAGGATCGTCATACGGAAGCTCATGCTCAGGGGTTACACAGTCAAGGCTCTGGTGAGGAGAGCCGATGAAGAAGTGATGGCAATGCTTCCCACATCTGTAAAGGTTGTGATTGGAGATGTGGGCGATCCTTCAACTCTCATCAGTGCCGTTCGAGGCTGCAACAAGATCATATATTGTGCAACAGCTCGTTCCACCATTACAGCAGATCTCAATAGGGTGGATTATCAGGGGGTTTATAACCTTACCAAAGCTCTCCAGGTACTCCATTTTACTCTTCCTCCATCCTATAAAGTGTCTCTTTTTCATAGTTCTCTGGCCTCCAAGTTTGCCCATAGCTAATAGGTTAGAGGTGGCAGTTTTTAGAGGTGCCAGTAATTAAGGGTGATATCTGTGATATGTTTATATTAAGTGCGGCAGTAAAAGTATTCTCAACTAATTTTGCCCAGATGTAAAAAGATTAAGTTATTTGGAAAATAAAGTGAATTATTAAATTGGTTAGGATCAGGGGGTATATATGTATTTCCTTCTGACCAATATTTACACTCATTAATCGTTCAAAATAAAATGTTCGCATGTAGGACTATAATAACAAGCTGGCACAGATGAGGGCTGGAAAAAGTAGCAAAAGCAAGCTTTTAATAGCAAAGTTCAAGTCTGAAGATTTATTGAATGAGTGGGAAGTCCGTCAGGGGACATACTTCCAAGATGGAATTGCTATGAAGTATGATGGAGGCATGGATGCAAATTTTGAGTTTACTGAAACTGGGGATGCTGTTTTTTCAGGTATCAATCAATGAGACACAACGAACGGGCTGACATTATTGAAGTAATTTGCTACTTGACATAGAATAACGAGTTTATTATATTATGGAGATTCACTATGTAAACAGAAAAATGTAATCCTGATACCCCTGATTTATGCTGTGGATGCATGCTTTGTTAGGGTCAGTTTGGATGGATGTTTTTTAGGAAAAGGCTTTGGAGGGATAAGTTTCTATCTCGGTAAATATACGATTCCTAAAAATGAATCAAGGATGGTTAAAATGTTAGATACATATATATTGTGTTATTCTGTCATTTTGTTTAAATGTTAGATGTATATTAAGATAAAGACTTAACCCTCTGAAAACCAACATCCAAAGTGAAACAAAAGGTTCTAAAGAGAAGCATGAGAAAATCATAATATCATTCTTTGTATTCGTTTGGTGCACAATAGGATATGTTTTTACACGAGGAGGGTATGTTGAATTGTCAAAAAAGCTTTCACTTCCTTTGGGATACACGCTTGACAGGTTTGCATTGCTTGTTTAACCCCCCTAATTCTCGTTGAGTATCTCAGAGAAGTCGTCTATTGGGCTTGAGTAATATTTTATTCTAATATAAACCTTATGCATTCCTGCCCAGTCGATGGGTTGGAGGCTTGAAGCAACCCTTTAAGGGTTGGTTTGAGGAGTGTGTTGAGTATTCAACACGGTTGTTTACTGGACTTGAATCTAGCATATGATAAGTTTGAGGTAATCCACATCTCATCAAGATCTTTTTTAGGCGAGGGTTACCCAATTTAGCTGTTATTTTAATCTCAATGGAATAACTCATTCCAAAATGATATTTGTGATGCTTAGGTATGAGGGCCTAGTATTATCTGTTGGTGGGAATGGGCGGTCGTACATATTAATTCTTGAAGCTGGTCCTTCAGCAGATAAAACTGAAAGCAAAATGTATTTCGCAAGAATCAGCACAAAAGCTGGATTTTGCAGGGCGAGTTAATTGAACATAAAACTTTGTGCAATTTGTATGTTTTTTAATTGTTGATGACAAGACTTGTTTTTCTAACACAGGTGAGAGTGCCATTTTCTTCATTCCGTCCTATGAAACCTTTGGATCCACCTTTGGATCCATTCCTTGTGCACACATTGAATATACGTTTTGAGCCAAGAAGACAGGTTTGCTATTCAATATTGGTACTTGCATTTTTTTTATTCCAGCCAATGTGTGAATGGATTTTCTTCATTTGGTTTCCAATCTCGCTACTCATCATACGTGATAAGATCTTTTTGTGTGAACTGTGAAGTATAAACAACACATGCACAATTAAGTGATTATTTCAGTTACGAGCCCATTTGGTGAGGCTTAAAAATTAAAATGACTGAAATAGTTGAATTCGCTGAAGTTGAATTAACTTTTTTTTGCTGAAATAGCTAAAGAAGAATATAAAGAAAGTTATATAAATCATAAAATAAAAATGGAGTACCAAATTAAAAGCTGTACGTAGATTGGCGCACCGTATTTATTGTACTTCCTCCGTCCCAAAATGATTTGCTAGTTTACCTTTCTTGGACAACAGTACAACACACTTATTTTTTTTATTGAGGATATAACTTTAATGAAATTCCTAAATATGTAAATTTTAATTATTAAAATGATTTAATTATTTGAACTTAATATTTAACTTTATCCTCAGTTAGCCTTAAAACCCACAAATTGCAAATCATTTTGGAACGGAAGTATTTCTTATTACGGATATCTCCCTAAACTGTATTTTCTACATAGATTGAGCTTTGAAAGACTCTGCATATTGCACTTTTCTTTAATCCCACCTGCCTAAAATATATACATGGAAGAACTTTGTGTATATAGTGTGATTCCAACATGCTTAGTTAAGCTATTCATAATTTTATAACTGCTTATTTTGATCAGTTTGTCTGACTTGTCTTTCAATTTTTACTCCCTCCAGAGACCAATTGAAGGATCTAAGGGGGTGAAGGAAGACTTGAGAAGCTTTAAACTAGTTTTGGAATACATTAAAGCTTTGCCTGTAAGTGCACAATTATGGTGGAAGGGTGGAAGGTGTTTTGTACTTTATTCAGAACTTAACAATTTCAAACTTTGCCTAAAAGCAATCCTTGCAAATGTACCATTATATCCTCAGGATTTGCTTATTCTTATATTTGCAGACAGGACAAGAAACAGACTTCATCTTAGTTTCATGTACAGGGTTGGGAATAGAGTCTTCTCGAAGGGAGCAAGTTTTGAAAGCCAAGAGGGTATCTTATTTGAAAGCCATAGTTCTTTAAGCCTTTAATTTTGTTTTCTGGCTGACTCTTAGTTTGAATCTCTGTAGGCTGGAGAAGACTCGCTGAGAAGGTCAGGCCTTGGATATACAATAATACGCCCTGGTCCCTTAATGGTAAATGCGTTAATAAACCTTAACCTTTATCTCACAATATTCAATCTGCCACTATTAATAAATAAAATAGTATATTGTTTATGACTGTTTTAAGTTAGTTTGCTTTGCAAAAATATGAAACTACAAACTTTTTACGACTAGAGAATATTAGGCTCAAACAAGTAATTTAATCTTGACAAGCGTAAAAAAGCAGGTATACAAAATTCAAGATTAAATAAGAGTAATATGCTTCAACATTCAACTTACTGCAGGAAGAACCTGGTGGCCAGCGTGCTCTTGTATTTGACCAAGGAAATAGAATATCTCAGGTTGGGTTTATTTGTTCCTTTTAAGAAACTGCTGGAATCATATGAATGCTCTTATCTTACCTTTGCAACAAAGGATTGTAGGGAATCAGCTGTGCAGATGTGGCTGATATCTGCGTGAAGGCATTGCATGATTCAACAGCCCGGAACAAAAGTTTTGATGTGAGTTATAAAAGAAAGGGCTAATGTTTCTTTTTCTTTATAAAAAAAGGCCCTTTGAGATTTGATGTGATTTTGATAATAAAAGTGAAATAGTAATTTTAGTCATGATTCTACAAAACCTCGCAGTTTGGCCATCTTTTGAGTTTTTGGTCAACTCCTTTAAAATTTCTAATTTAGCCACAATATTACAAAATTTGTTTTAGTTTTGGCCATAATTGTGCTTTGTGCGAGCAAACTTTAACATATGGTGTCATTCCATTTTCAAAGCTAAATTTGCTAGTTAATGGATTGATTTTAATTGCCTCAATGTATTAAGTCTCTCTAAATTAGCAATTTTAGAAGTGTTGGCCATAAGCAACCAATCATAAATTATTTAACCAAAACTGTACAATTGCAGACCATGGCTAGATTGACAATTATAACAAAGAAATGGAACCTACAAATAAATTATTTACAAAATCTTGTTTTCAAATATATCCAAAATGTTACAAATAAAACTGGCTACTATGGTCCTGTCCACTGGTGTTGGTGCGGGCCAGTAGGAGGTGGCAGCATAGGACAATAGCAAATGGCATTTGGCAATAGCACAAGACAGCGACGGAGTAGTTGCACTTGGCATTGATATTGCTACTTGTTACTATTATCTTTATTTATTAAAAGAATTGAAGGTGGGTTTTATGTAATACGAAGTATATGTTTTGTTAGGCATTGTGTAGTACTCCGTATTACATAATTCTTCATTAAAGAATTGGTTAAAATCGCAACAAACCATAGACCTGAAAGAAAATGCATCATCTTTCTTTTCTAATCATACCTTCTCAAAAGGGATTCATTTACAGAGTTGTATTTTTCCTGACTGTACCACTAGGTATGCTATGAGTATGTGTCAGAATCTGGGAAGGAGCTTTATGAGCTGGTAAATACATGCATTTGCGGAAGCAGCATTCCCACTTTTCCCCCTTGATTTGGTTATGGTTAAGCATGTTATTTTACTTGTATCTTTTCATACACATTGTTCTTTATTCTGAAAATTTATCTTTCAGGTTGCACATTTACCGGATAAAGCAAACAACTACTTGACGCCAGCACTCTCAGTCCTGGAGAAAAACACCTAAAAAGATATCAAAACACCAGAATCAGTCTTCATGATAATGGAGGGCATTATTGGTGTCAAACATAACGTTGTTTTTCATATCTAAAGCTATATGCACTTGCTGTAGTTTTTCCTTGGTGGTACTGTGTGCATGTAGTATGATCCAGTTGTGTATGCTATTAATGTACAAATATGGTTCTGCACTTCTGCTATTGCCGCATGATTTTGCTGAATATGGACACCATCCGTTAGGAATTATATCAGGGATTTCCTTTCCATGTGATCATGATTGTCCCAATTATTTTGTTTCTCATTTTAATTTCTTTCCTACTTTAATATTGCTATGCGTGTATAAATGGGTCTCTGCACCCAAGTCTTATGTATGAACATTTGATATTTCGATCCCCTTTACACTTTTACAGTGATATATTAATTTTCATTCTTTTGCTATTACATTTTTATTATATGGGAGATAATTGTTTATGCAAAGTTGCAAACTTAATAGTTAGGGCACTTGGGGGTCAAACTCACATTTTAATAGTATGCCAGTTCCTTTAAAAAGAAATAGTATGCCAGTTTTTCATTTACATTCAACCACTTTGAGTAATTGAGTGTATATTCTAAAGCAAAATGAAAATAGCGGCTGCTTTAAACAAGATAATAATGATGGCGTAATTTAAATACTTAATACTTGCACTTTTGCAGTGGTTGATATATGCTCTCATCTAAACAAGTAGTAAACTAGTAACCATAAAAAATGCGTAGTGTACACATGAACACATCATTTACCCAAGTTGTACGGGAAAGGGGGCAAATTAGCCACTATGATAGAGTTAAAAGTGCAAATAAGACATTAACCTTTTCATAGGTGCCACTATGATAGCATTAAATTAAATATATAATTAGCTTTTAAGCCAACCACTAACAAAAGCAATAAACATAATAGGCCTTTTTACCCAAGTTGTACAAGGTATAAAAGCCACAAAAAAATCTCATTCCACCCCCCTTTTTTCTCTCGCTTTTCTCTCCCTTCTCTCTTCCACTCTCTTCATCCTCTTCTTTCCTTCTTCATCCTCTTCTTTCCTTCTTCATCCTCTTTTCTCTATTTTTTTAATCACTTTTTTTTCATTATTTGCACAAATTAAGCTTATTCATCTTATTTCATCTATTTTTATTATTTTTCTATATTTTTTTCAAAGTACATGTAAATTGATTAGACATACAACTACATCATTCATTTGATGTATATAGACAGTTAATTTTTTTGTCCACCCAGACAATTGAAGTTGATCGCATCGACAACTAAAGTTGATCACACAGACAATTGAAGTTGATCACATCGACAACTATTGTCTGTGAGCCGCACAACTATTGCATGTCTGGTAAATATTGTCTGTGCACACAGGCACTACACATATATTGATTGATTTTATGCATGGCAATAGGTCGAGGCAGGGCGGGTACTGCAATACCCGGACCCGCCCCATGACTTCACTAGGTGGACCCGCCCCGCCCTGTTACCCGCACGGGTCCAAACTTGTTGACCCATGACACGCCCCATGCGGGGCATGTCTGTCCCGTCGTAACCTAATTAGCCAGTATGTATTTTTATTTGTAGGATGTTTTTACCAATTGAGTTTACATAAATCTTATCGGTAAATAATTATTATAAATACTATATTATTAAATCAAATTCACCAAATGATAAAAATTTCAAAAATTAATAAAAAAGTACCTAGGCTTGAATAGTTAATCTATATAATTATATTAATAATTGAATCTATGTATTAAAATGCTATATATAAAGAAGACTTTTATAATTCCTCGCTCATCTCATTCACATATAAATATTACTCCCTATTACATTATAAGATCAAAGAATTTATTATTTATTATATATACACACATGTATATTGAAGTATATTTGTAGTATAATTTAAGAAAAAGTATGTACACTTGTATATTGAGCGGGTCGGGTCGGGGGTGTCATGGGTCAATACTAATACCCGGACCCACCCCATTTGCAAGACGGGGCGGGCCATGGCTCGGGTCAGGGCGGATCATTACGGGCCGAGTTTTTTTGACATGTCTAATTGAGTTGCAAGTTGGTGTCAATGTTAGACGGTTGTCAGTGTACTTTTTACACAAAAGTAAATGTCTGTGGACATAGATAAAAGTTGCCTGTGCTCACAGGCAACTCCATACCAAATGTCTGTGACCGACATTTTGTTCACAACTTGTATACCCCTAACATTTTTTATTCACACAATTTCTATGTTAGGGTGATTTAAGTACTTAAGTTGTAAATGTAGGGATATAAATATAAAAGAGATTTATGTATGTTTCTATGTGCTCTGGTGTAGTTTAAACATTTTACAATTACATATTCAATTGAAGTTTTTAAATTTTCATTTTCAATCTTTAAGAGAATATATCTATTTATAAAAAAAAATGTGTCAACTTAAAAGATTAAAGTATCTAAATTACAGTGTTTTGCTGCGCAGAATTTGTGGTTGGGAAGGCAACGCCTAGTTTGTTGGGAAAGGTAGCATTGTAGCAATTTTAAGTAAAATTATAAATATATGCATTTTAATTGCATTTCAAATTTTCAATGCGAGAAACATTTTTTTAAATTATAATGATGACAATGGTAATAAATGTTTATAAATATATGCATTATTTTGATTTGTAAAATTGTATACACTCACTCATCTATTTTCTATCTATTTTCATGTAGCAAAATCATAAAAATAATAATACTCGGTATCGTTTTTAAGAGTTCCCTAGAACTCTTCAAAAAAATGATCATACGTCTTCTAAAAAATGATCATACATCAATAATCCCAAGACTGAAAAAATTTACGTCATTAAAATCAACTTATTAACAATTTCACAAAAATGAATTCGCATAATAATGGAAAATAAACACCGCTAAGTGACAACAACGAGTTTAAATTATACGGAAATTGTCCTAAATAGGACTAAAAAGTTCCTAAAAAGCACAAATAGGACTACTATTTTTAAAATTCCTTAAATAGGACTAAACATTGATTTTCTACCCTAAATACCCCTAAGAGTATTAATTCATAATGAAATGCTTTAATTCATAATAAAATCAGAAAAAACGTAAAAAAATATTTAAAAAACGTAAAAAAATTAAAAAAAATTTATAAAACATTTATAAAATAAAAAATTTAATTTTTTATTTTTTTATTTTTTTTAAAAAAATAATAAAAAATAGTAAAAACCCATAAAAAATGAAAAAAATTATGGATACCTTTCTCACCGCCTCCCGCCGCCTCCCAGCACCACCACATCCGATTGGTGAAATTTCTTCCACTTTTGGTAAAAAAATGCCATATTTTTCTGAAAATGCCAAAAAGATGGCATAATTACTCTTCAATATGCCAACATTTTCATTGATTATGCCATCATTATGGCATTATTTAAAATGTTGGCATATTTTTGTCCGGTGATGGGAGATGGTGGTGTTGGGGGTGGCAGGGGTGGTAATGTGTTTTTTTTTAATTTTATGATTTTTTTTATTTTATTTTTTTATTTTTTTTTTAAAAATATTTTTTATTTTTTTAAAAAAAATATTTTTATTAATTTTCTATTATTTTTTTTACGATTTTTAGTATTTTTTTCGATTTTTATTAATTTTTTTATGATTTTATTATTAATTAAAACATTTCACAAGTTACAAGGGTATATTTGTCCAAACACACATAAATAGTCCTATTAAGGGAATTTAAAAAATGTAGTCCTATTTGTGCAATTTTTCCACTTTTTAGTCTTATTTAGGGAATTCACTCTAAATTATAATGGTAAACTTTTCCAATAGAGATTCATTTTTGTCAAATGCATGGAATTAGAGACTATCAATGTAAATTTCACCTTAAAATTATTCGATTGAACTCATTGAAGTGCATAACAAAAATTTAAATTTAAATTGTCATACTGCGTTGCATAGGTATTAGGTAGTAGTATGTTTTTTGTACGGAGTATTTGGAAATTGGAAATATAGTGCTTGTTGATTGAAGTCCCACCAAGAAGCACGATGTATTTAGAAGCTGTTCTCTTCGCCTGATCTGAATGTTTCTGATCTGAATTTTTTAAGTTCTGATCTGATCTGATCTGAATTTTTCTGATCTGATCTGATCTGATCTGAATCTTTCTGATCTGATCTGATCTGATCTGAATCTTTCTGATCTGATCTGATCTGATCTGAATCTTTCTGATCTGATCTGAATGTTTCTGATCTGGTCTGATCTGATCTGAATGTTTCTGATCTGATCTGAATCCTTCTGATCTGATCTGAATCTTTCTGATCTGATCTGATTCGAATATTTCTATGATTATAATTATAATTATAATTATAATTATAATTATAATTATAATTATAATTATTATTATTATTATTATTATTATTATTATTATTATTATAATTGCAATTACAAATATAATTTAAATAAAATTATAATTATAATTGTAATTATAATTACAATATTTATCTCTATAATTGTAACTATAGTTATCAATATTATTATAATTACTCCGTAAAATAATTACAATAGTAATAATAATAATAATAATATTAATATTAATTATAATAAAAATAATAATTATAATCATAAATTATAATTATAATATAATTATAAGTATAATTATAATTATTATAATTATAATTAATAATAATTATAATTATATTAATATTAATTATAATATTATAATATAATAATAGTAATATAAATACAATTAATATTATTATAATGATATTATTATATTAATATTATTATTACAATAATATAATAATATGATTATTATTATAATTAGTATTATATTATTATAATATTATATTATAATTATAATTATAATCATAATTATAATTATGATTGTAATTATAATTATAATTAATTACAATTATAAATATAATTAATTATAGATATAATTATAATAATTACAATTGATTATACTTATAATTATAAGAATTATAATTGTAATTATAATTATAATTACATATAATTATAATATAATATTTTAATAATATTAATCATATTATTATTATAATGTTGTAATAATAATAGTCTTCTTAACAATTGCATTTATATTACTATTATTATATTAAAATATTATAACTATTATTAATATCTTTTTTTTATCATATAATTATTAATATTATTAATAATAATTATATAATAATAATCATAATAGTAATAATAATAATAATAATAATAATAATAATAATTAATATTTAATATAATAATAAAAGTGATAAATAATGTTTGAACTTTTCTGATCTGATCTGATCTGAATGTTTCTGATCTGATCTGAATGCTTCTGATCTGGTCTGATCTGATCTGAATCTTTCTGATCTGATCTGAATCTTTCTGATCTGATCTGATCTGATCTGAATCTTTCTGATCTGATCTGATCTGATCTGAATTTTTCTGATCTGATCTGATCT